TTTTAATTTTTTTATTATATTATAATTATAATTAGGTTATTTCTCTATCTCATATTATAATAAATAATCACACATAAAAAAATATTAAAATTATTTAATATAATTAAATTGAAAGTGAGTATTAAATTAAAAATAGGAACGGGGACGGGTACGGGGCGAGTAAGTACATACCCATACTCGTACCCGTACCTAATTTAATATATCGGATTTTACCCTTACCCGTACCCGTACCCGTACCCGTACCCGTACCCGTACCCGGTCAAACCGGGTATTTCTCGTCAAAGTCAGGACGGGTTCGGGTATTACCCGTGGGTACGAGTATATTTGCCATCCCTAGCAGGGGCAGGGACGGGGTATTAATATCCTCTCTGCCCCTGTCCTCGCTTCGCTTAATAATATATTTAAAAAATTATTTTTATGTAAATATAAACTAAAATTAAAAATATTTATATGTAAAAATTTATACTAATTTACTTTTCTTTTATTTTTATTAATATTTTTTCATATTTATTTAAAAGAAAAAAAGAAAAAAAATAGGAGCGAGGGCGGGGGTAGGGCGGGGAAACCCAAATCCTGCCGAGGGCGGGGATGGGTATACAGATTTTACCCCCAGCGGGTATCAGGGGCGGGGGCGGGGCATGGTGTTCAAGGATGGTAAACCGAAACATCTAGGCTTCGGGATCCATGTGCATGTTTCATGTCACTTCTTTTGTTGCTGCGTCTGAATTTCTGTTTTCAATTGTTCAATTCTGGGCCCATTGACAATTGAGAACCGTTCTTTAATATCTTTCCACAATTCCTTAGGAGTCTCCATGTACGAAATTGTAGAATGCAAGGTTGGTTTAATGGTATTCAAAATCCATGACACCAACATTCACTACACAGTCCACCAATCTTCCAATTCAATTGTTCTTGATCCGGGTTGTTCAATGGTGTCGTCTATAAAACCCCACTTTCATTGTGCTCGTAGAGAGGTTTTGATAGCGTTGGCCCATTCTTCATAGTTCTCGCCCTTCAGTGGAACTTGGGTGATTACACTTCCTAGGTTATTATTGCTCGAACTTAGATCACACGGTGATGGCATCTTCTTTGTCGTCTCTGGTTTTCTTTCTTCACCACACACTTCTCGGTTTTCTGCCATTGTTCTTTCTTTGACTTTTCTCTATTGGTCAAAACCTAAAAGCTCTTGATACCATAAAGAATTATGAAAAAACGTAAGTGTTTCTCTCTATCTTTTTCACTACCATATGATCATATGCGTATCACATATATACAAGAGGTATTAACCACCATTTCCCTCATTTATACATATCAAGGCTACCAAAATAATCCCTAAAATAAAGGATATAATCTAAAAGTGATTAGAAACAAATCAATTAGATTGATTTCTATTCTCTTTAACTTACATATTAAAAAAATACTAAATATAACATTTTGGGTTCTAGGGGTTAGGTTCTATCTCAAAACCTTTGAAGATTTCTGACTTTCTCTTCTTCTTCTTCTTCTTCTTCTAGATCCCCTGAGCTTGTAGAATAATTGTTGATCGACTTAAGTTGGTGACTCAGAGTTGTTTGGAGTCAAGAATTTGAGATAATGTGAGTGTGGAGCTTAAAAGCTCAAAAATTTTCCCTTCTCTCTCTCGATTAGCTCATAATCGAGAAACTAGAACTTGATCCTAGTGGATTGTGGGGCTTACATGTATCTTGATCCTTGTTGAATGTTTGTTGATGTACTTGATTTTGGAGGTGGGTGTTGTATTTCGTGGATCCTTGGTGTTCTTGGGGCTCTTAGTGAAGAAAGGGGGGTTGACGATGGCAGATTGATGTGTTGTTAACGTCTCATTTTCTTCAATTTTATGAGTTGCATGTTATTATAATTGAAAGATTTTGAGTTTGCATGCATGTATTGTTGTATGGGTTGAGAGGATTTGAGGTTATTCTTGAATTTTGGATTTCCTCAAAGTCATGCATGTTTTTTGGATTTGGTTGCTTAAAACGCCCATAGGGTTGCTCAAAGTGAGCTTGGGTGGTCGTTCAAAGATGCTCTCTAACTTGGATCATTTAAAGCAAATTTCGCTTGCTCTAAGCGAGTTATCGAATGCTCCAAGTGAATTTTGGTCGCTTAGAGCAAGCTATTGGTCGCTTAAAGCGAATTATCTTGTAGCTTCGAGTTAAGTGTTTGTAGCTTCGAGCTAGGAGTTTGGTAGCTTTGAGCTGAATGTTGGTAGTTTCGAGCTAGGTGATGGTAGCTTTGAGCTAGGTGTTGGTAGCTCTGAGCAAGGTGTTTGGTAGCTCCAAGCTAGGTGTTGGTAGCTCCAAGTTAGGAGTTTGATAACTTTAAGCTAAGTGTTGGTAGCTCCAAGCTAGGTGTTGGTAGCTTCGAGCTAGGTGTTTGGTAGCTACAAGCTAGGTGTTAGTAGCTCCGAGCTAGGTATTGGTAGCTCCAAACTAGGTGTTGGAAACTTCAAGCTTGGTGTCTGTTAGTTATGAGCTAGGTGTTTGGTAGCTTCGAGTTAGGTGATGGTAGCTTCAAGTTAGGTGTTAGTAGCTCTAAACTAAAAGTTTGGTAACTTCGAGTTATGTGTTAGTAGTATTGAGCTAGTTGTTGGTAGCTCTAAGCTAGGTGTGTGGTGGCTTTGAGCTAGCTATTGATGGTTTTAAGCTAGCTATTGGTAGCCTTGTGGTGCTTGAAGCGCATGTTTCCCCTTTTTACTTATAATCTTCTTCACATATCGTATTATGTTAGTTGTTTTACATGGTGTATGATGATGAATGAAGCTAAAGCATTATATATTGATTTATGATGATATATATAATGGTGATCTAAGTTGTTTAGGCATGTGGTGTGCAATATATGTCTTTGTTGAGATACATAAAAATTATAAGAAAGAAAAATGTTTACTAAATTTTCATATCCTTTGTGTGAATATTAATTGTGGCGTCCTAAAAGGCCTAGTTGAAAACCTTTCAGTGAGTGAGTTAACTCCTGAATGGTAACCTATTTTAAACATGTCTTCTCTATGGTTTATGTGAAACAATATTGAGGTTTGGTTGACCCATATTATGAATTGAACATGGGTGTGATAGTTGTATCTATTACATATGTATGTTGATATATGTTGCTAGTTCTTTATACATTAATTTGAGATATTGTATATTGATAATTTAACCATTGATAATTGAATTGTTGAATATGATGATAGTTCTATGTATATTGATTTGAGATAATATATATAGATATTTGAATTGTTGATGAGCATTAGTATGTTATATTCAATTGGTGTGATTTGATCTACACAGGCACTAACTTGGGGTAATGCATATAGATGATGTTTGTATGGTTAAATTGTTAAGCATTTGTATGTTGTATTTGAGTTAAATGTTGAGCATTGGTATGCTATTCTTGGTTGAGCTATCAAGCATTGGTATGCTATATATATGATTGGTGCGATTTAATCTCTATATGCATTTTTGAGGTAATGCGTACCTAGATGATATATATTGAGGTGTTGATGCTGAAAATGTTATAGGCATTAAACATGTTGTAACTTAGGACTAAAGGAAAAAGTGTTGTTTTGAAAGTTGAAGATTTCATATATGAAATCTTGTTATGGTGCTTTGAGAGACCAGTTGTTAAAAACCCTCCTTGAGTAAGTGTGGAACACCTAGAGTGAATTTTGTTAAGTTTCTTTTTAGATCCTTTGTCAATGTAGAGTAAAGTATCACGTTGAGGACTACCATTTTTAATTGATTACTGAAAAGGTTGTGTGGTACCTTGAAGATAGTTAGTGGGTTAACTCCATAAGTGACTTGGTAATACATGTCAAGGTTGTGGTATGCCTATACCCAACTATATTAGTCTTAACAATGGAATCAAACTTTCTTATTATAAGTGGCGACACCCAATAAATCAGAGGAGGCATTGATAACCCATGTCGCATTAGATGTGATGTTTGCATATGTTGTAGTGTGAGTTGATAATGTTCATATACATGATGTGAATACCTTGATATATGATATGATTGTGGTAAATATTAGATTGACTTGGGCGCTTAGCTTTTAAACATGTTGATTGTTGTGTGTTGTAACCCATGTGACATGTTTTGATTGGTTTGCATATTGGGAGCAGTATAGATGTTTTTTTTTTTTCTATACATGCATATTTTTGAAATCTAGTTTACTCTTACGTATTTTTCTTATGGTTGAAATTGTAATAATGATCATAATTTTTCTAGTAGTAAGATAAAATTAATTGGAGGCAAATAGTGGCTAATTTTTGGTGAGGTCATGCTAATGTGTGATTTTTCTATGTATGTTTGATTACTCGGATGTAACCAGTTTATAGATATTGTTTAACTGATAATTAAGATTTTTATTTCATAATTGATAGATTACTCGCTCTCTCTCTCTCTGTCTATCTCTCTCTCTCTCTCTCTCTCTCTATATATATATATATATATATAAAGGTGATGTGTATATTAATCTTAGATAATTGTAATTATCTTTTACTACTAGTTGCTTGATTCCATTAAATGTAGAAACTATGACAAGTCAATACAAAATCCATAATAATTCATATAAAATATCTTACTTACTTACATATAAAATTTAATAAATATAAAGTCATATATTTTGATATATATATATATATATAATTTTTCTTATTTACGTTATAAAAAAATATTAAAACATTTTTTATTCTAATAGTTTCGTTACTCCTTTATTTTTATAAAATATTATTTCATTATTAATATATTAATTTTCCAATAATTAGCGAGAATGTGATTTAATTAATATAACATTTTAAATGTAATATTTGAGGAGTTTTTTAAAGGGAAAAGTTACTCATGTTTAGAGGGGAGAAGGATATATATTTTTGTTTATTATTTATTTATAGATTAGGGTATGTGGAAGGAAATGGAGGGAGAGAAAAACAAAGTTAATCCAAAACATCATGACAACACGGTTATTATTGCTTCCAAATTTGTAGCAATAAACTTTTAATGTTCAACAAAACCGTTATTGCAAAAGGGACGAAGACCACTCCATGTAGTTGGTGGGTAAATGCAGCATCAACATAAACCTCATTGTGTAAGGTTAACTGAAATAGGACTCCTGACACGTTGGTGCCTGCCATCACTCCATGTCAACCACCCGAATACGTAATCACTTGTGTTCATACTTTGCGGCTTCAATGTCATTGTAACTCTGAACTCCTTTTTTTCACCCTTTTCCTTGAAGATCAATTCCCTAGGATCAACCGAAACTCGAACTTGTGGTGGTGCCTTGATGTGCACCTTGTACGTTCTTGGGGACCCAACATTGGTAACAGTTCGAGTGATATTCATAGAATGTCCAGGGCCAAATTTTGGAATTGTGATTGCCGGATAATTGAAATCTGCAATATTGAACGACTTTGGACAAGTGTAAGGCTTGCCGTAGAACATTTTCAGCTGTGAACTGTTGTAGCCACGACCACACAAAAAGTTCAAATAATCAGTAATATTCAAGTCATATACAAGTCCAGGGTTCATAGCACGATTAGGTTGAATGTGCCCTGCACCATAGTCAAATGGAGTTGCCTTGTTCAATGATTCATCCAGGATTGGCTTTCTAGAGTTATCTAGTGTGGTTGCTGCAAAATGCATGAACCTTTTTAATTAGAGTGTAAAAATAGTTGAATGCCAAATAATTCATATAGCTATGTCAAGTGTAAAGGATGTACTTTATACATTACCTGAGGTAATGATTGCTGACTTAATGGCAGCTGGACTCCAATCAGGATGAAGGGCTTTGAGAAGCCCAGCAAGGCCAGCGACATGAGGACATGACATTGAAGTTCCAGACAAAGTAAAGAAAGGCGTTCTTCGTTTGTCAGAATCTAGCTCTGTGAGAGATACAGCTTCACTATAAGCAGCAATGATGTTGACTCCTGGTGCAGTCACATCAGGCTGAAACACAATATAAATTAATGTTCACCTCATATTTAAGTCCTAAAGGGTGAATGGCGTGAATCAAATTTAATAATTAAACCTTGAGGATTGCTGGTTCAAAATGATTTGGACCCTTTGATGAAAATGAAGCCACATATGGAGCTGGCTTTACTCCTAATTCTGTTTTCACCCTTGAAATGTATGCCACAGGAGACCTGTTATTATGAAAAGGGCCAAGAGGAAATCAAAATTAAACTCGCCAAAAACTTAACAAGGAGCCTGAAGCGTGAGGAAGTAAGTTACTTTGTAGTTCTGATGTAATTATAAATGTCATTGCCATCCTCAAAGTTAACATTTGAAGCTGGAAGCACATGGGGTTGGGGGGAAATTTCCTTCCCTGAGTACTTGTCATTAGCCAAAATCATTCCAGCTGCGCCTACACTGGCAGCTTCCACCCCCTCATCAATTGTAAAACCATTGCTTAAACAGACCAATATTTTCCCCTTCACCTTCTCAGGATCAAGAGTTCCTTTCCTGCATAAAAGTCTGCAAGAATGTACTAAATTACCAGAGAATCCCCAATATAAAGTCAATTTAGATGGTCTAAATGGTATGAGTATTCTTACGCTTCTATAATAGATGCATTATAAGCTTTGGCATCAATAGCACTGATCAACGGGTACATCTTATTAGATGGTAACGCATACTCTGAAAGACTAGCTCCCTAACAATAACAGAAAAAACAAAAAACTATTAGTGACGTGTTTAGATATAACAAGAAAGACAATTGGGGTTGTATAACTATAAACATATACCTTGAGAACTTTCTTGTTACCAAGTGTAACATAACTAACGAAGTCTCTGTCAGTTGTGCTTGCAGCAACAGTGAGCGTCCATGGTTCATTGCTGGATGTAGTTGAAGGATAAGGCCCTTCATTTCCTGCAGAAACCACTACTATTACGCCGTTAGCAACTGCATGGAAAGACCCTATGGATATACTGTTTTGGGAATATTCTGAGGGTACAGATGAACCCAAAGACACCGAAAGCACATCAACACCGTCACTTATGGCAGTATCAAAAGCAGCCAATATGTCTGCATCAAAACATCCACCACCGAACAATACAGACTGTGGCCAACACACCTTATAGGTTGCAACTCGAGCTTTTGGTGATCCACCACTCGCAGTTCCATTGCCAAAGCCAAAAACACTAGCTCCATGGACAAAGTTACCACCAGCTGTTGATAAAGTGTGTGAACCATGACCTTCATAGTCACGTGCACTCAAGATCGAATCATTCAGTTTTTGACCCAATTTTGCCTCGTAACCTTTGTAAAAATATCTTGCTCCAATAAGCTTCCTAAATATAGTACAAACTCAAGTTAATGGAACTAATATTGATGGGATAGTACCATGATAGCATATTTTTTTGTGTATGAGATGGGATAGTTTGGAGAAATTAGCGAGAGTAAAAATAATGAACCTGTTGCAGTGGAATTTATCTCGAGTGTTCTTATTCTTTTGACAGATTCCTCGCCACCGTTTTGGGATGGGTCCTATCCCTTCATCACTAAAACTCTTGGATTCTGGCCAAACACCTGTGTCTATATTTGCAATTATGATATCTTCACCCAATGTCTTCCGCCATACTGAGTCATGCGAAAATTCACCATTTCTCTCTAACCCAAGGAAATTCCATGAGTGTGTTGTGTGCAATTTGTGTTCTTTGTTTAGGAAAACTGATATTACACTCGGATGCTCTACATGCAAAAAAAAAAAAAAAAAAATAAAAGTTAGAAATTAAGGTAAATAACCCTAAATCCTAAATGGAGAGATATAAAAAAAAAATTCCCTCAAATTGTTAAACATATATGCTTAAAAATGTTATAAAATCTATACTCATGACAATTTTTTTAATAAAAATAAATATTATAAATAAATAATGTAAATAATAAATTTGAGTATTTTTACATCTACACGTTAATGAAACGGATATCATAATTTAATAACCCTAAATCCTAAATGGAGAGATATAAAAAAAAAATTCCCTCAAATTGTTAAACATATATGCTTAAAAATGTTATAAAATCTATACTCATGACAATTTTTTTAATAAAAATAAATATTATAAATAAATAATGTAAATAATAAATTTGAGTATTTTTACATCTACACGTTAATGAAACGGATATCATAATTTGCATATCATAATATCCGTATCCATAAATATCTGTTAATATTTAATTATATAATTATATATTAAATTTGTTTAAATTTATGATAATGAAATGTTTTAATAATTAATTTTTAGTTTTTAAATTGAAGTATCTCAATTAATAAAATTATGAATAATATTTGAATAATTTAAGTTTTAATTTTTAAATTATTATTTTTAAAAAAAATTATTAAAATAAATTTTATTTTTTAAAATAAATATCTACAAATACTATAAGATTATATGGGATATCCAGGATACCTGCTGGTTGACATCCCTATATATGGTACATGTATCAAATTTTGCTTAGTTTTTAAATGCATAAGTGGAATTACATACTTGCAGCGTTGGCTGCTTCATCTTCATCAAGTACTGCAGCAAAGC